TACACTATAATTAAGAGGGGCTATTTATGTTGTCATAAAAAGTCCTTCCAGAAAGATAAACCAAAACCACTGGAGGGCAGACTCTTTTAGGCCAGCATATGATTTCAGCCTTGATAGCAGGATATCATGGTATCAGCCATGTCAAAGGCTGCTGTCCAACAACAAGAGCGCAGCAGGGCTGCCAGAGTCCAGAGTTAAACGAATGTCATTAAAAACCCTTAAAAGGGAATTAAGGGCAGAGAGGAAGGAAAAGAAAAAAATTCACACAGTGAAAAAAGAAACAAAAGCACTCTGAGAGTGCAGCTCACTAGTATTTACTTTAGGGTAGTATGGCAGATATTTACTTTAAATACATAAACAGCTCAAAGAAACACATCAAAAACTTGCAGACCATGTGTATACATGCTCACTCTGTTAATATTTCCACCCGGAAATCCAAAGAAATTAGAACTTATCCCCACAACAGGCATAAAATAAAACGATTTGGCATTAAATGTGGCACAATTGTGAATAAACTCCCAGCAAATCCAGTTTGTATGATACATTTAAGTGGTTTAAAATGTTTAAATTGTAAGTGTTATTTGTTTTATTGTAGTAAAACAATTTCAGCATGCGGTCAAATAAAGGAAGGAGACAAATGTGAGGGTGCATAGTCACACAAATACTTACATCAACCAAAGACAGGAAGCGGTTGTACTTGTCGTCCTTAGTCAGAATCTCTCCAACTGTCAAATCAGCAAACTTAACACAAGAAGAAGAAGACATTAAGTTTCATATTGTGCTGTACTGTAAAGGAAAAAAATAACTGCAGTGTTTTAATGTTTTTCACTCAGCTGTTGTTTAAGCTTTTTTCTGTTTCTTTTTTTGGTGTTTTCAGGGAGTTTTCCACCATTTGTGTATTTACTTACCTGTTCATCATGAGGGGAGGAGTCGGTGGGTGTGATGGGCTGGTCTATGATGTGAATGATCCCATTGGATGCTGGCAGGTCTTGCTGGATGACAGAGTACAGTTTTCTGGGGTTGTCCAGCAAGATGAACCTCTAAAACAAGAGTAAGACAACCAAAAAAAAGACTTTCTTTAAAGAACCTGTGCATATTATGAAACAAGAATCAAGGTTCAAGCAGGTTTACATGGACTACACATTTTTCCCTCAACAAACATACAACATCCCATATTTTTAAAAAGTTAACACTTTTTTCGCAGCTTCATCTGTCATTGTAGCACAAAGGATGCTAAATGTAGCCAGCATAAAGCATTAAAAATACATTCTGGTAAACTGTTTCCACCAGTCACATCCTGTACACATTACAGGAAGCCTTTAAGATTGGTGCAACAATGACACAATTACTAGTATTGTTGGGGGGGGGGACATGACAACAGTGGTGGACAACATGACCGTTTTTGCAGCTAAAAATACATGTGTGCTCACTGTGAAACAAAGCTGGGAGACTGTGTGCAAAAAAGAAACCTATTGTAAGAATCAGCCCAATTATCTGGTGTGTCTTTTGTGTGTAAAGCTTCATACTGCAACGGCAGTGAAAATGAGGCTGTACAGCCTGAACACAGGTGGAGTGAAAGAAACACTGTTCTAGACTTGACAGCTGCAACTCTTTACTGCTGTAATCAGAAAGAAACCCTCTGCAGGTTAAAAGCCAATGAGATCCCATTATCAGATCACTGGCTCAACAGACTTAAACACTGAGAAAATTAGTCTGTTCACTTGCGTCTATCCACTTCTGTCTGGAGTTACAAAGATGCTTAATAAAGAAAAATTGACAAGATAAACTGGTAGCTTAGTTTGTCAATCTTTAAATTGACAAATTTATTGTGTATGTTGCTTCAGACTGATAGCAGCCCACTCATAAACAAGAGTCCAGTAAAGCTTTGACCTGTGGATCTAGGGGGCCTGTGATGGGGGAAAAAACAGGCGTGAGTACTGTTAAAGCACTTTGTAAATTGGAGGTAATCGATTCTCAAGGCTTAGTGTTTTTTCCCAGAGTTACAGATGTAAAAATGAGCAACTCTAACCTTGCATCATTATAAATTGAATGAATGAAGGAATGAGACCTTTACTTGACTCTTAGGATACTTTGTGCACCTTTAAGAGCATTGCAACCTTTGGCACACTTTCCAAGGACGGACAGCCCAGACGTGCAGATAAAGCAGGAGCCCTGAGCTCTTCTGTATCTGACTGCCAGAGATAAGTGCTCGTGTTATATGCTGCAGAACTGGTGATCTGTGACAGAACTGTCTCTGAATCTATTTTGTGACTCCTGACTAGTTATCATTTTATTCACCATGTTAACGATCTGTCATGATACCATACATGAAATACTGTTGAGCAAACATACAACTAGTGTTATAGACACGCATGAGATGTCTTGAGAAAGCTCCGCCCACTGTGTGAGGCCATGCAGTCAAGCAGGAAATGCAGCTTATTGTTTTTGTCTTCCTGAAAGGAGAAACAGAGACAGACGGTAAGGATTCTAATCACACCGTAAAATATCACTTCCAACTAATGAAGACAGCTCCGTGACGGAACACTGTGAACACTGGGATAACTGGAAAATAGGAATACTTGCAATTCCTGTCAACTGCTGCAGTTTGCTCTGCTTTATGATCTGAAAGAGCTGCGACAGAAAGTGAAAGCAACTGTCAGAGAATCTTCCGGACTGACTGACTTCACTTTTATTTTTTGCTGTGTTTTCAGCTTCATTCACAGGCAAAATGTCGCTCAGATCAGAAGAGGATTTCTTATGTCCTGTCTGCCATGAAGTCTTCACAGACCCTGTTGTTCTGTCATGCAGCCACAGCTTCTGCAAAGACTGCCTCCAAAAATGGTGGAGGGGGAAGAAAACATACGATTGTCCGTGTTGCAAGAGAAGATCCTCAAAGAGTGATCCCCCTCGTAATTTGGCATTAAAGAACCTGTGCGAGGCCTTTTTAGCGGAGAGAGGCGA